TAAGTTTTGAAAGAGGAGAAGACACAAGACCTGTTTGCGAGTCTATCTCAGTACCCCAAGCTTTGAAACAGTACTGCTTATCAAAAGCATTTTTGGTTGAGGTGGGCAGACCCAACTCTTGGTACCTACTACGGGCCTTTGCAGTCAACTCTTCGTCCTCCTGGATCCCACGTGCTCGGAGCCACTTGGTGTCAAGAACCTGGAACGCAAGGTGGTCATCTATGTACAAGCCTTCGAGCGTTCTTGAAGCAGGGAAAATTTTCCCATACACTAGGGTTTGGTGTGGCTGCAGGCACCCCACTGCTCGAAGGAGGCTTTCATGAGTAGCTTGTGCTAAGTCAACCCCATTACAATCACCCATGCAAAGTACTCGAAATGATGGCAAATAAGTGACATTTGGATCCAATCCCAGATCTGTAAGCTTATGCCCCTTGATTGGTTTCCCAAAGCAGTTCCTGTTTTGCCACATTTCCAGATGCTTGATGAGATAAAAATAATTTGAGAGGTCATCCCCGCTAGCTCTTATGCTTTCATGTGCACCCAATATCAGCTGGGTTAACATGGGGCCACAAGGCAAAGCGCACCACTTCAACCGCCCCTCCCTGAGGTTCAAGGGGCGCCGATCATTGATGAGTCGGTCGGAGTCAGCTTTATGAGGGACACAAAAAAGACCCCCTTTTTATGAGCTTGCGACCCTCCATCAAAACTTTGTCGCGCGGCAGAAAGGTGATCATTCTGTGGCTGCGCAGCTTGCGTAAAAAGGTGGGGCCAGTCTTTATCATCAACTTTATGGCAAGCTGGGAAGTCTTTTCCCACCAGGCAGTTGGTTGGGGTAGAAACAGGCATTTCCAAAAACTCTTTCAGCTGCTGGCCTGTGAGATGATCAGCCGGGTCCAAAATTCCGGCACGATCGGGCAAAGAAATACGCTGTGGGTCTACTTTCTTCGCCCCGCACACATTCTCATGGACATCTATACTCGGGTCATACTGGCTGCGTTTAATTTTGGAAATTAATTCGTTCAGCTGGGCAGGCCCCCTATCCATGGTCCCCCTAGGATGGCGACAGTACCTCAGAACTTTTGCAAACACTGTCCTAGCATAGCTCTCGTGTTGGGCAGTCCACTCCCCTTCAAAGGCACGTTGCACTGACGCATTTATAGCCTGCGATGAACTCGGGGATCCACTTTCCAAGAAATTGAACAGCGCCCACAACCTATGCATCCATTCAAAAGCCTCGCTCCTAACATGCGCAGAGTGGCCTCGTCTACGGGACTTGCCGGGCGGCGACGTCCACGGGAGTCTAGACGGGAACAGTGCAAATTTCCCAGGCAGCTTGCTGGGTGGTTTTCCCTGAGCTTCATGGAGAAGCCTACTATGGATCCGGTAGTACCGGGCAAAGGATCCATGCTGACATTGAATTAAGTCAAACAACATGTTAGACTTCGCGTTTGACTGGGCATGCACCGGCTCATCACTTTGTCGCACAGCCGTCACTCGGCCGCAGGCATGTTGTCGGTCTTCTGACCCTTGCCCTTTGACTTTCCCCCTTTTGCTTTGCCCCGATCTCCAGGCGGGATGTCGGCCCATCCCTTGCTTTTCTTTTCGAGCTCCGACATAGCTCGGACATAGCTCGCGATCACCTCCAGATCTTGGGTTTCGCCCCCGAACCGTGGTTGATCCAATGGATCTTGAAACGGCATCAGAAGCCATGCTGTCTTCCAATTTCCGTTGTCGATTCCGCATTGGTGCAGTGCCCGCAACAGCTGCGTCAACTGCAAGGCCGTGAGCTCTGTTCGGCCGCTCAGCAGGGTCTGCAAAATCTCGCTGATAGCGAAATGGATTCGAAGGAGCGATCTTTGTTTGTTCCATTGGATTTTCTTGGTGTAGTCTGAGAGGGAATAGGGGGGCCCCCCTCTTTGCGCCCAGAGCTTCCTCCACTTCTCGCACGTATCTCCGTACATGACGAAGCGGATGGCGCTTCATCCGCTTGTGCCCCAAGCGGTATGCCTTCATGGCTCGTCCGGCGCCTTTGAGACGGATCTTTCCGCTCGAGCTCGAATCCTCTGATGAGGTGTCGCTGTTCTCGGATTCGGCTTTTGGCTGCGGTTTCTTTTTGAGTTTGCTGTCCTGCAGGGTCCGCAGAATCTCCATTTGAACTAAGGCATTCAAATCTATTGCAGCACCTGACTTTCCATTCTGGGCCAACAGGGTCTGAAGCAAAGTGCTGCTTTGAAGACCTGAGTCGTTGTCCTCTTCCTTCACAGTCTTTTCGCTGAGCAGAGGAAAACGGTTCTTCTTGGGCCTGGGCACTTCTCTCCTTTCGCCACTGCCTGAGGCGGTAGCCTTGTCTAGCTGTTTCTTTTTGGCGCGTGACAGCAGCTGGAAGAGTTCGTCCCCTTCGCTGTCGCCAGCATCCTCGAAAGGGTCGCTTTCTGACTCGGACTCTCTGGCAGTCGTCACATTCCTGCTCCTTCGTGGGGGCTCCACATCCTCGGACGCCGTAGCGTACTGCAAACTTTCGGCTGTCATGGCATTCTGAGCCTTGAGGAGCACTGCTTCGTGGGGCGTTTCTAAGGCTCGGAAAACCTCTGAGCATGAGGGTCGAATCTTTTCAGCTGTGCCAACCACTAGGATGAAGATGTTGTCGTCCACCCTAAAGCTGGTCAGGTGTTCGTCCAGCTCGGAGGCTAGCACTCGCACTGCTAGGAAGAACCTACCCTTCTTTTGCTCTTCTGACACAACCAGGCCCTGACGCCAAGCAGGTGAAAAGCCTTCCAACTTCAAGGAAGTAGTCGACCCTTGAGTCACAGTCATGCAACTCACCAAGTGTCACAAAAACACCGTGAATGAGCCTCTAAGGGGGATCAACAAGCGCCCTGGACACAGATCTCCGTGGTGACCCCGGTTTTGACGGGGCAGCCAGCAAAGGTCACTGGGCTGATTTCCAGAGTTGCAACACGGCACGGTGGTGTAAGGCTTCACGACAGCGGTGGCGACTTGTGAGCAGCTGAACACGGCACGGTGGTGTAAGGCTTCACGACGGCGGTGGCGACTTGTGAGCAACTAGAGATCTGAGCTACCTACTTCTGTGTTGAGCCTGCATGCCACATGTGGACATTCTACCATATATCAGAGGGGCTTGCAAAAATGACTCTCACTTTTTTTTGACTCTCAGTTTTCTTGTTTCTGACGCTAATGAATTTGATTTGGATACTAAAGAAGAGGGGGAGGAAAAAGATGAAGATGCTCTCACTTTTCCTATTCACCTTTGATTTGGATGCTAAAGCAGAAGGCGAGGAAGAAGAAGAAGAAGATTTCCTATCTTATGATTCATAATGATTCATAATCTATCTTTTAAACCGTCGAGTCTGAATTTGAGGACACATTTAAAAATCTAAGTGAGTCTTGTCGTCCGTCAAGTCTGAATGGCATCATGTATTATAAGCGAGTCTCTCTTGGAGAATATGCTTTGGACAGGTGAATCTAAATTTGAACGTCATATAAGTGATTCATGTAACTGACTATTTTGAACGGTTGAGTCTGAATGCTGCATTATGAATTACTGTAAAAGATGGTCTGGGGCGGGGCGAGGAGGGGGGGGTAAGGTGCCCAACACACCAAAACACAACATCCAAGAACAACTGAAGTGTCCTTATAATATGTCAGGATGTCTAGAATCACTCTAGGGTTGGTAACATGTTTATTACTAAATGTCACATATCAAATCTCTGCAAAGAAAAAAGCGTCCGATACTTGACTTCGTCAAGTATTTGGATGTGACCTGCAGGTTGTCCTCCAAAAACTGGCAGCATATATAATCTGGGAGGATTTACATAAAAGGTGTTGGGGGGGTTGAACCTGCTGAACCTGGGGGGCGGAGCCTTGGAAGATCCTGGATCTGCTGGTGGGAAGGTGGGAGGATGGGAGGGTGGTCCAAATTCGCGCCATCAACTTCAAGCTCAATGCTTGGGCCGTACGTCTGGCATGTTTGGATGTTGCAGAGCACTTCAATGACCTATCACTTACCGTAGCTTTTCTTATTGCCGTTGCCAGCCAGGTTGGGTTCTACCCTCAGAGTGACAGTTGCATCTTCACATCAACTCACGACTCAATCCTTTATTCTATTCAGACTGACACTCAGATTCGGTTTCTCTTCCTGTTCAGATTCACAGTCACTCCTT